AATAAAATTCAAACTAATCCTGAATACAAAGCGTATCTTAGAACCTGCCTTTGTTGAGGTTACATCACAATAAAGTCAATCACGGCTGCTTAACTCGATTTCCTTTTAAGAAACCTATTACAGGCCGCAGGGACCATTCTCAGAGAGAACTGGGACAAAATTACTCCAACGTAAAACCAGTCAATTTAAATGTTAAAAGAGATTCATTTAAAAAATATGCCCATGCAAATGGTCGAGATGGAACAATATTACTTCTTAATTGTGATCCTGTTTCGAGAAGATTCCATTTTTAATACATTTTAATCTTAAATAACGAATATTTTATATTTTAGATCACAATTTGACAAAGTCATTAACATTTTTGATTGTTTTCATCAGATAGATTTGTAGACCGTAAATACACTCATTCAATACTTTGTTCATTCTGAAGCATTTGCGGATGTTGGATCATATTGTAGTTAATAATAAGATAAATCTTCATATTTACTCCCCGAGTGATGTGTATGGTACCCTTAAAGTCGGTGCAAATTTGGCGGAAGATCCGTGCAGCGTTTCACAGACGTATGCTATGGTATGCGACGGAAATTTGTCAAATCTGGCGTTCCTTGAGCGATAAGTTGTGACCCTTATATAGTAATTTCACAATCTGAAATATTAACCGTTACATTTCTTTGACTAGTTCTCAGTCTTTTATGTTACTGTTAAATGAAACGTTAAGTATTATAGTGGGTACAATATTTATTTAAACATTTTTTTTATAAAGCAAAGTTTAGGTTTATTTTTCGTATTTTATAGATTGTGTATAACATTATAGATTAAAATAATATGCCTAGTTGTAAATATTATGATTCTTGAAGCATTTCCCTTAGTCTCCGTCGTAATATCTTTCCACGTGAGTTTCTTGGCAGTTCTTCTAAAAACCTGACCCCTCCTCTAAGTTGCATATACGGTGCGACCTGATAAATAAGAATTACATCTATTTGAAAAATAATAACAATACACTACACATTATCAATTAACTACATATAATTTTAAATGTACTAATTTTTTTAAAGACTAACTCAAAGCGGAATTATCCGTATTTTAGGACCTTTGTAGTGAAGTGGTTTCATGGCTGATTTTTTATGTCATTATAGAGGGTCATTATAGAAATTGAACTTTTTCATCTTATATTTGCAAGTCTTCTATGTAATTTCCTTGCAAGACAGCAGTAAATATTGACGATAGAAGCCCCTTTTTAAAATTTATAATAGATCATGGTGTCATGTTACTCAGTCTTTATACTTTTGTTAACATATCTACGAAGTTGCATAAGTAATCAAATTACAATAATTACGTGATAAAAACTATATCGAATACTAATTAATAATCTCAAGCAATCTGCAGATGAGAATTGCGTGATAATTAGATGATTATCAGAATTATCACTATGTATTTGCAAAGTACTTGTGTACTATAGTATTTGCAAGTCTACTGACTTACGATCATCGATTCACGAAATTAAGCCGATTGACTTACGAAGTCACAAGTATCTCTCTTCATCTTTCAGTTGTCAGACGAATATTATTTTACATTATAAAGTCACAGCTTCTAAATATTTATCATACTGTTTGCTAGGAAGTGTTGTCGTTGACTTGAAATGTTCACTGTCCAATAACTTATGTAGGGCTCAAGCAGATTACAGCGTAGGATAGCAATAAGGTATAATAGCGTCATCGGTGTTAGCATACATTACGCGTTTGTATTGAAAACGGCCCTGAATTTGTCAGGGTCCATGAAAGCTCTGCGCGTTACGCAGAATTTGCCGTGTGTGGCGGGCACTTTGTGATATTGTGTGGTTTTTCACGCCATCCTAATTTGTTTAGGATTCCCATTTACGGATGAGTGAAAATTGTCTAACGAAAAAGTTTTATTCCTGAGCGGTGTTCAACAGAAATATTTTTGTGTTCTAAGATAATTTAATATTCAGTATTGTGATTTTTTCGGGATCAAAGTGATTCCATAATCCATGGCATATATAATTTAGTTACGGATGTTCTGAATTATATATTGTGTTACATACAATATAGGATACGTTAAAAATAGGTGATATTACAAAATACCTTGTATTTTAGGCAATTTATGTGACTACGGAAGGTTTAAAAATATTAAAAAGGAATTCGAACGAATACTACAACAAAAGATCTTTATATAATTTCGTTAAGAAATTTCACAGTAGAGGAATATATTTTTAAATATTACACAACATCACATACTTTGTTCAGATTCTAAAACATGTACATAGTTATCTTTTGTCTATCCGCTGTCTCTGATACTCCATAAATGTTTATCTTTATATTATGGGGTATCTGAGACAATGGAGGCACTATTACTATATATTTTTCTACATTGCCCCGACCGGTAATTAAACCGGGAACCTTAGAGCTGACGACACTTTGAAACTGGCATTTGAGCCACTCGGCTACGGAGGTCGGCAATAAATAACATTATATTAGATACTAACCTCTGCAGATACATAAGTTATTAATTCTTGTTCAGTAACTTTGTATCCTGATTGCCTAACTACAAAGGCCATAGGTTCCTCACCAAATTCAGGTACTGGTTTTCCAATAACTCCAACTTCTTTCACTCCCGGATGAAGTTGTAAAATTGCCTCAAGTTCTAAAGGAGCAACCTGTTGATGTACTAAAATATGTGAATGTTTGATTTCAATAATATCAAATACTTAATTAACATACGATTCTCGTCTATTCGATTAAATTTGATTCCATCCATTCGGATGGTTTGAGCTGCAGCAGTGGGGACATTAATAGGCTGGAGATTATGAGTAGCTCGGTGACATTGTGATAAGTGCTGCGGCCCGCAGTCGATGTTATCAAACGACTGTTTTTCCTTTTTTTTTATTGACGCTGAGAAATGCGTTACGCATACCCGCTTCCCCAGCGCGGGGTCCATAGGTTATGTGGGATTCTATCTGCGGCCCCACCCCCGAAGGGGCTGGACAAGAAGCAGGAGTTTACCCACTAAAACTCAGCGATGTCCCTCGCATGGAAGGCGATGCACAGGATCGGCCCGAAGGTCATACTCCGCGCGATGTTAATAAACAACTCTCGCAATGGTCTGCCATAGGTTGGGTAACCAAAAATTACTATCTCGAGCTATTCTGTGCTTTGGAAGGAACATTAAGCTGTTAGTACCAGCTGCATTTGCAGTCGTTAATATCCTCCAATCCGTATTGGGTCAGGGTGCAGGTTCGTCTCGCGTCCTCCTTATCCATCCAGGGGCCTGAGCCCCTGGAGGGACGTAAAAAGACTGATTATGATAATACAAAAGACTAAAGTGTGAATTTAAGATTATATACTTACTTTATTACCATCGTATGAGATAATCTCTTTCATTCTGTCTACGATAAAAAAATATCTATCTTCATCATAATATCCCAAGTCTCCAGTCTTAAAGAAACCCTCTCCATCTAAATAAGTAGACGGATCCACTTGGATATAACCTTTCATAAAGACAGGGCCTCTCAAACAGATTTCTCCGCGTTGATTTGGTCCTAGAATTTTACGAGAATCGGGCTCTACTACCTAGAAATCAGACATTAACAAATTAAACGCAAATACTCATGTTTCAAGGGTCATAGACAATTTGAAAATATATTTATATAATTCTAGACTTTGTAAGTGGCTTTGACCCCGTGATACTCGGTTAAAATTAAACCGCAAAGGCAATATTTTAAGTGACTGGAATAACTGAATCTTACTATATAAATTACCAACAGTCAAACTGTAGTATGTCGTAGGAGTTAGTAAAGTTTATTGTATAATCGACAGTGTCACTTTATGACAAAAATTTTAAGAGATTTAAAGCCTTAATTAATTGCTAGATAAGCTTGAAGTTAATTGCAGAAATTTGGCTTTTACTAGAGCACTGCGGTTAAAAAATGTAAATAACAAATGGTCGACGTTCGCATATAAATTTAAAAAAATCATTATAAAACGCTAATTTTCATAATATAAAATATTCCAACCTTTATCGTCAAACCTGGAGATACCATACCAACGCTACCGGGCTTTGGACCTTTTGAGCCCCAAGTCTCTGAAGTGGGTTCCCCGCACTCTGTCATACCGTATCCTTGTAAAATATTCCACAATTTGGGTAACCTTAAAACGAATGTCGTAGAAATGTAAATTGAAATTTCGTTTCCAAGTCTCGCAGACTCATTAAAATAGTTATGCTAAAAACAATGAAGCAATAAAAATAATTCGCAACGAAAATGGAATGCTGATGTGGTACAAATAAAATTTATTATACCCACCTTCTCTTGACGTTTTCGATTGTTTTAACATGAAGAGGGGATGAGCGGGAATAGATGATCTTTAATGAGTCTAAATTAAATTTATTCACTTCATCCGATTTGGATAAATATCCGACAAGAGAAGGAACGATCATAGCTATATCAACCTAGAACATGAGAAAGGAATTTAATGTGTTAATAATAAATTTAATATTGCATAGAAACCAAGAATTATAAATATCTATATATTATAAATTATAAATATCTATATACTAAATATTATAAATTCGTATCTGTAAAAAAATTTTAGGAAAAAAATGAATAACTATCATATAATTTTGTAAAGGAGGAAAGGTAAAGAAAGTATAAAATTGCATGTGATTTGAATAAATGCAGTTGATATGCGTTAGATAGAATTTAGAAAAAAGTTAACCAGAAAGATAGAGTTTGTGTTAAAATCAACGAAAGTAGAAGGATGCAGAAGCCAAGGAAATCCATAACGGTTTTATGATTAAATCGATCGCGTGCTGTTAGAGGATGAGGTTGGAAGTCATAAAAACCGACGAGTATACATGAAAAGCATTATAAAAGTGGAAGAGACGAAAGATGTATGTAAGGAACTTGTGGTACTCGATCCTTCTGCATCCTCTAGAAGGGTACGGCTTTTTTGGGCATATGTGCTGCGGAAACTAAAAGTTATATTAATATATGAGTTAGGGTAGTAATAAAAAAAAACTAAATCATACTTGATGGTCCTCAACTGTTTTGAGAAATTTTTGCGGCGTCGGTTCGTTTACATAAACAATTTTTTTCCCCATGGCCAAAAATTTATATGTCATGAATGTATCGTAATTGTGATACCATTCACCGTAGAGAAACATAGTGTTTAAAGAATCATCGTTGAAACTAAAAGAAAGAAAATTCTGGTACACTATACTAAATTCTTTGTAATAAAAGTATTAGAAACTGTTGTTTAAAATTAATTATTTACATAAAAAAGGAACTTACTCATGGGGAAGACTATTAAGAATGCAATTTAAATGCGTCAATTGCACCCCTTTAGGCATGCCAGTTGTACCAGATGAATACAAAATGAATGCTACATCAGTTTGTCCTTGAACTTTGGTTGGCTCAAATAGATTTATATCTACAATATTTTTCGTTACAAGTGATTTCAATGAAATCAGCGATTCAACACTGCCGTCAAGTGTTATAAACATTTTGACGCAATCGAATTCCTTTAAAACATCTCTGTAGGTATCCCAGAAAAGGTTAGAGCACATGAAATATTTCGGTCTTGTTATGCTCATCTTATGTTTCAATATGGCTGAAATGTAGAATAGAATTGAAATTTAATGGCTTTATTAAGACTTACATGAAACAAGATATTTGCTTTGTTTTTGTTTGTATATTTATTTGTAAATCACATTAGGATAACTGAAAAATTTTTACACAGATAGACTTTAGAAATCGTGAAAAATTGATCTAGTGACAAGTAATCGTACATTGGAAAGGTGGGCAAAAATATTTTTATTTTTTTATCGCCACAGCGTGCGTTTTATTCGTATTATGTACTTGAAGAACTCGAAACACGGATTGAGAGTGATATTTACGTTCAATACAATATTTCACTCTCGGTCACGCTCTTGTATATTTCTCTTGAGTTTGTCATGCTACGCGGGTTAATTCTATGTAAAGAAACGGACTTTGATATCCGCGTATTGGATAAGTGACCAAAAATTTTATAAAGCGAGTTTTTCTGTGCTTTCAAAGACATGTTAAGCTATTGCTTGAAATATTGACATCCACCAATCAGGTCCGGATCTTTCTAACTGGGGCAAAACTTGACATTTGACTTCCACCCCTAGCATATCAAGTGTTTGATTTTAAAAGTAGTTTTTGGAAAGCTCTTGATTATGGCGCCCCCTTGAGACTAACGTTCGGGGTAAGTGCTCCTGAATTAAGGTCTGTTGATATGCTCTTTCCATAAGAAATGCCTATGTCCTAGGCAACGGCTAAGTAAATTGAGGATGATGATGAAACAATAAAAAATGTGAAGCTTAAATTAAATTAAAATATTGATTATTCTGATTGTCTAATAAAACTTGCCAAAGTTCTTACCTCTACCACTCTTTAGATCGTAGGGTGTGTAGGTAGCCCCAGTAAATACTATTCCTAGGATAGTGGCGACAAATTCATTTCGCTTCTCCGAACCCACCGCAACAATGTCCCCGACTGTAACGCCCAACTGTGTGAGCGACACTGCTAAATTAACGGCATATTTTGTCAATTCTTCGTAAGTTAGTTCATGATTTGTTTCGTTATGTGCCTGTTAGACAATCAGGTATATACATAAATTTTATAAATACACGGCCTTACCAATGAGCTATGTATTAGCTTTTTATAGTTGTACAGTGTTTTATCTTTTTCACTCCAACTGAAAATACCATTACAAAAAAATCAAAGGATCTCCAGGGATCTCACTAACTCATCGAGTCTCATTGCTAAGTTAGGAAGATTATTTTTTTAATAAAGAGGTTTTTTAAAATAATCTCATTAAAAGTCCTAAAATTTACTGAGATTTGCAATATCCGACCGCACTTCTAAGAAAAGTCCAAATATCCTAAGATCTCAGGATAAATCCTGATATATGGTACTTACATTAGAATGACGATTTTCACAGTCAAGAACATGATCATAATTTAAGCATAAAAAAGATTATCATTATGTATATTAAAAAAGGAACAATAAATTTTAAACAAACGCGAGGAAGAAAAATTTCTTCTCCAAGAGTTTTCACATTCGGAGCTTATCTTTTTATTATTAATACTATTTCCAAAAAGATAATGCATATTTGTGAATTTTAGGGGTAGGGAAATATTAAGAGGTAATTGTTTGTTCAAGTGGTGAAAGGACATACAATTAAGATATTTACTAAATTTCAGTCATTTTATTAAACCCATTTTATGAGATAATTAGTACAAGGGACAAACATGCACATTAAACACCTACAATAATGTGAGAGCAATCTAAAATCTACTCATCGATATTTAATAATAAAAAGAGGAGAGGTTTGAGTATTTGTTAGCTTTCATCGAACAGGCTTTGAAACTACTAGAATGATTTTAAAAATTCTTTACCCAACAGGAAGCTACAATTTAGCTGCACTTACCAGAGCGACTTCATCTTTTTTAAGCCTGATGCGGTCTAGAATATATTTTCCAAAATTAAGGTGTGCCGGGACACTGACATTTTGATCTCCATATATATAATTTTCATTGTTAAACATTCTTGTATAGTTAAGCGGTGATTTAAGATGTGCACTAGTAAAATGAATGATATTTTATCTAGCGAAGCTTATAAATGAAGTTATTTAGGGTGTACTCACACTAAATACAACTTTCATGAACGTTATAATTTACTTAAACATATTTCTTATATGAAATGCATTGCATTGCATATGCATTACCTTTATAAACACAATAAAATTTATATTTGTAAAGTACACACTTGAAATATATTTGTTATATATTCGCAAAAGACAAAAGAAATAGACCCTATCGAAATTCCTATTTTATTTATTTTTGTTTAGATTGTTTTAATTATATGCCAAAATGTTTCTGTAAGACTAGTAGCGCCATCTTTGATTTATTAATGTAATTATTTTTGTTAAACTTGTTATAATTATATACCAAAATGTTTCTCTAAGACTAGTAGGCATCTTTGATTAATGTTTTGGATGTATCAAATAAAGTGTCAGTCGTTAATCGAAAGTGCGTATATTAATATAGCTTTGAACATTATAATATTATTAAAATATAAGTCGGACTACCGCCTAACTATACGAACATAATATTCCGGTCTTTATAGATTGCATAGACCAACCATGATTACTTTGTCCAATCCTAGACGAAATCCAATTGGTTTGTCTAACATCAGACGAATTCTGCAACGTTATTCTTTAAAAAGCATTGACCTCGACGTCGACAAGATCTCTGTGACAGCATAGACCTTCAATGAAAACTTTATCACCTTTTAAAGTAGGTTTTATATGTTTGAACTTCTATCCTATGACAGCGTTGCACTCGAGTTCGAGTGTGTGTTTTTATAACAGAATAAATAGTACTGCTTAGTCCATCTTATGCTTGAAAGTTAGAATGTAATGTAAGTACTTATAGTAACGCGGTGGGGCCCGCTGATGGAGTGTCATAAAAATATTGAACAAATAGTACGTATATTAAATTTCATTGTCGGTGTAGATAAAGATGACCGTAAGTAATAGTGGATTTTTAAACATTAACTACAGCAGTGAAAAAGTAAAATGGAGATTTTTTAAATCATTAACTTTAGACGGTCGAAACCGCGAGCGGTAATTCAGTTGATTTTATTACTATTGAAATAATTATATCCAATTTCTATTATGAAGCTACCCTTATACTGCATCGTGAGTGATAAATATTCAATTAAAAGTTAATATTCGTAACATTGATAATAACTTCTTATTAATAGCATCACGTTATCAATAATTACTCGTGATAATATTATTGACAATGTATGTTTAATAAATCATTTTAATGTTAAAAGTATTGATTTGTTTTGATATTGGAAATATACCTATTTAATGTTTTTACTTAAAATTTTCAAATCAAGTTTTTTTATGGTATACTTGACCAGGTATCTTGTTAAGATAATTCAAACGAAACCAAATGGGTAGGTTTTTCTAGTTTGATTATATTTTAAAATATACGCTAATTATGTTAGCGATAAGCAGTTTCCTGATTTTTGTTAAAAATATGATTTTTGTTGTTAAAAACCTATATTTGTTTACAGCGTTTTAAGATAAAACTCTCGCTAATGTTATATGAGCAGTTTAAATCTTTGTTTTTAGTTTGTATTACTTTATGGTTTAGATTATGTTTTTTACTTATTGTTCTTTATTAAGTAACGGATGTTTTCTGTCAAATCCCTGCCAAGGAGTAATATATAAGAAATAAACTTTTAAAAGTGTGAAGAGCCTTTAAAGATTTACAAATTCCAACCGCCACACTATTCGATTAAATTTTATTATTCGTAATGAACCTAAGTCTGTCATTAAAAAATAAGACGCTACGCTGAAATACCTACGAGTTAACATATATAGAATTTATTTTTAGAAAACTTTCAAAGACAGATAAAATTTTGACAATTTCAATAAATAAAAAACCAAGAGCAAGAGCCAGACTCGTGTACTTAGGTTTACGCACAAATATATAATTTTAAAACCATAGACTTAATACAATTTTCTGTTATAAACACTTTTTCTCCAAAATTTCAGGGGCGTAGTTTTGGAAATCAGGGTAACTTAATTTTCTTTTACAATTAAAAAGAAATTGTTTTGGAATTGTTAAGGAATTCGGCCCTTTTCTTTGACGTATCAAAAATATAGTTCTCTTTTTCTAATTACCTATTGCCTGTGTTTTCTAAATGCGTTTCCGTGATTAAAATGTATGCCACATTCTATGCCTTCAGCATAATAATACATATTATTATATTAATAATAAATATATATCAAATTTCAATTGGTCGAATAGATTCCATTTTTCCTTTTAATCTGTAAAACACAATAATTGACTTAGATGGCTTTCCAGAACTCCAAACTTTACTCCACAGGACCCTACAAAAAATCCTTTAACAACGACCGATTGATGTCTCTTAAAAAGACAATATTAAATCCTGAAATAATGTTGTCCGTCAATATTCCGCTCAAAAAGTAAACTTTCTAGAATGCCTTGTCTTTAGTCTATTTGATACCCTATTAAATGTCTAATACAAATGTTTCTAATCAAGATGATTACTAATCCTGGACATGTCTTTGGTTTAATCAAAATGGCTTTGCGACAAACAGTGCTTAATATATAGTAATAATTTGTATGACATGCACAATGCCTTTTGTTATATAGTTTCGCAATCATCTATATTGAAAGAGAGAAGGAAATATTCCAAGACATATAGATAAACTGACGCAGTCGCAATTTTAAAGTAATCTGTAATGCTTTGAACTTTCAAAATTTTCTTAGAATCTTTAGGAGGACCAACTTCCTCAGAGATTTTTCAAATAAAATATATAACGGCGGGTAATCCGAAGGGGCTATTACGAAGCCCAAATAGATCGTCCATATCGGAGGACTATCTTTAAAATAACACTGCAGGCGTGTATACCAACGTGGATTTGTTCCATTTTATCACTTTTCAAACGAAAATATAACGAGATGAGCGTGATGTCGTCAGATATCTTTACTCCTCGGCGATCGGAAACAGAATGTGTGCCAAAATGGCGGCAACTTGGTTTTTATAAACGAACTGTCAAAGTCAGTGTCACCATTCTAATAAAATTAAAAGTATCGATGATCACGCTCTCTTTACAATCGAGTAATTAAGTAATCGAGTAACTAGCAATTAAAATAAAAGAAACTAAATCAAACGATCTTCGTAATGATGATGCGACATATATCATATGTAAATATAAGTATTTTATCAAATCTGTTTAGATTGTAGTTTCTGTAATTATGAATAACAAGAGAAAATAAGTGGAAATGTTTTTGGTCGTATTCTGCGAAGAATAAAAATAAAAATGTAAAATACTTAGGGTAAAGAAAGAATAAAATAATCAAGTACGTTTAAGAATATTAATTGTGCTAAATCTCTAAATGAAAATTACGATTTGGACATTCATGATTACAATGACTTTGAACATTCAGATTTACTTAGTTTATTAATGTAGATATTTAATTGCTTTTCAATATTATTAAATTGATTTTGCTAAGTTGAGAATTCATATACAATTTTATCATTTCAAAAAACATAAAAAATGTATTGAGGAGATAGATAGCGTAGTGCTCAGTCCATTCTGCGATATGGAGACTAAGTACCATTCGCAAGGGCTGGCCAAAGCAAGTGTGACCAAAAATTTATAATATCGAGTTCGTCCATTCTTTGGGTCATTGAGTTACCTACTTGAATACGCGGGAATGTTTTTGCGCCAGGGTTTGTTATTATTAAAAGGCTGATTGATGATGATGCTTATATAAACACTAGCTTTTAAAATCGCGAAGACGCTTTTTTAACAGATGGAGTAGCATTCAAAGGTTAGCTACCATTTATCACTCTGCGGCCAAATTTTTGTGGTTGGTTAATTTAAAAAGCTTTATATAAATGGGCTTGAAAGGATTAGCCCGATATCAATTTCGCGCATGCAGTCACTCCCATCCTACCAGTTGCTAGTGAAAATGTAAAATCACCATTAAAGTGTAAATGTAAATTATAAATCGTATTTACAAAATAACTTAAAATCGAGAAGTAATCGTAATAGCCTTATCTCGATTCATATCACAATGTATGTGATGTTGATCAATATTATAAATGTATACGTTAATAAATCATTATTAACACCACATAGGTCGTTGTTGAAAATGAATCCATACATAAAACCTTCACTTTGAATCAGATAGAAAAAGTTTTTGATTGCGGATTTTTTAATTGCTTTTAAGATATTTTAGTTTGTCTAAAAATAGTGTGTGATATTTTGGTCTGTCTAAAATACTGTGTTTTAAAAATAGTTTCAGGCATAATTTATGAAAGGTCATGCTAAATATCATGGACTTACAAACAGTCGAAAACCTTTATGGATTTATAAATTGAGAAATAAGAAGGAATAAATAAATAAGAAACTGAAGTTTGTACAGGTTTTCCCAAAATTACTGAATTTTATGCTAGAGATCCAAAAATTGTACACGGTAAAATAAAACACACTTTTTACTACAAATGGAATATACATGTTTCAGGTTTTGAAAAAAATATCCCTCAGC